ATTTTAGAAGGGTGTGCAAACCCACACCGATTTTTTCAGGCATACATTTTACACATAGGTGAAGGGCTTTTGTAACCTATGAGTAATCATGCCCTACTGATGTCCAATGCGTTCAATTGACCACTTCCTTATGAGTCAAATACCAAATGGATAACTGACATATTCAGAGCATTTTATTTTTACTTCTTCCTCCTTTTGGTAGTGCTGGCCCCATCATTAGACAATGGATTGGGTGAACAGCAATGACATCCTCTCAGTTCTACCTTATAAACATTTAGTCTTCTCTTTACTTGAAGGACAGAGCTATGGAAATGCCACCAATCTTCCTGAGGCTGCTAAAATAACCTGCTGCTCCCAGGTCAGGTTGGCCATATTGTTATCAAACAATTAAACTGGCATAATTCTGTTGACGTGGATTTCAAGTACAGACTGCTGCAAGTTAGGAAACCAGTGTAGGCAGTTCCTGTTGTGCATCCTTTCTCTACCAGCATCTTGAGGTAAAGGTAAAGGTTCCCTTTGACATTTTAGTCTGTCATGTCCGACTCTAGGGGTCGGTGCTCACCCCCGTTTCAAAGCCGTGGAGCCAGCGTTTGTCCGAAGACAGTTTATGTTGTCACGTGGCCAGCGTGGCTATACACGGAACGCTGTTCACCTTCCCCCCGTGGTGGTACCTATTTAGCTACTCGCATTTGCATGCTTTCGAACTGCTAGGTTGGCGAGGAGCTGGGACAAAGCGATGGGAGCTTACTCCATCGCGTGGATTCGATCTTACGACTGCTGGTCTTCGGACCCTGCAGCACAGGCTTCTGCGGTTTAGCCCTCAGTGCCACCATGCCCCCAGCATCTTAACTGGTAGCAATTCACACCTGAGATGCACGCCAATCACATTATGCCAGTGGGCATAACTAATAGAATTCTGGCCACTATCCCACTGCCAGTCTTGAGGTAGTGTTCATCTGTGGACTCGGTTAGCTTTCATACATGGGTTGGTTAGAGGAAGAAGATAACCTCCCTTGACTTTAAGCAGCAAAACATTGGGCTGGCTCTTATTTCATGGTTAGTACGAATCTACAATAGACCAAAGCAGAAGTGATTGTGATCATGAATACCTTAGCTCTCTGTGCCAGCTTTGCATTTGGTTGTCATTGTCTGCAAGAGACAATTTTAATATAATTGAAGTCTTAATCTGCGCCCCCAATGAAAAAAAGCACAGTAAGAGCACTCTTCAGTACTGCAATGTATACCTTTTCAATACTTTTCATGTACTTGCCCTGTGTGAATGCAAAAGGAGTTGTCAAAGGATGAAAGAGATATAATCCACTGTATAATTATTCAATTCTGATACACTTACCCCATGGCAGGACATAAACTCTCTTCCTCTCCCCACTGCTTTCTTGAATGGCCTTCTGAAAGGTACTCAGAAGGGCAGATATCTTTAGATGCTTCACCTTGTTCTGCTGTTGCTTTACACTGAAACAGGCTTTTAATCCAGCTAAATGACTGGAACTGTGACCCTGAGCCATCATCCTAATTGAGCTCTTCAGTGAATTAGGTCTCCGTTATGCTGGATTGAAATCAGCCTGGGAGGAACTCCCTTGAAGTCTTGTAAGGACATGCTGAATTTTCAACCCTTGTAATTAGAGCGAAGTCGGGAGCACACCATTTATCACTCCATTACATTATGTAGCTATCCTACTCACTTCAAATACATAGGAGTGTAGAACCATTTATTCTCAACAAGCTGTTTTTCCTTTCTCACACACTCACAAGCACATGTTAATGTTGCACTAACATTAACACAGATCATGGCTAGTAAACTGACAGGTTCAATATTTCAGGCCTAGCCACTACATCTGGGGACTGCAATGCCTGGCATTTCAGAGTGATATTGGCTATGGGTTTCTGGACGCTGTCGTTCAAAAAGTAACTTAGCCCATTTCTTTCCCAGCTTCACCTTGCAAGTTCTCTTTCACAACTGGAATTACAGCTGGTAGGCTGCTTCTTGTCTAACAAGGGCTAATCAGAAAGGCTTTGCTGCTTGAGCTGATAGACCAGAGAACCTTAACCCCACTCTCAATTTCATGTACAGAACTGAACTCAACAGGAGTGGCAGCTGCATTCTGCTTCAGCACTACTGATCGAGATGCTTCTTTCACCAGTCCTGAGTGTGCCAACACACACACACACACACACACACACACACACAAGTGCCTCTCCCTAAGAACATCGACCTGCACCACCAGATCTCAGACTATGCTTCTCCGGGTTGTCACACAAGGGAGACTAGAAAAATATATACAGTGGTGCTTCGCTTAACGATTGCCTCGTTAAACAATGAAACCGCTATATGATGACTGTTTTGTGATCGCAAAACAATGTTTTAATAGGCAGAATTTGCTTCCCGACGATCAGTTCCCTGCTTTGGGAACCGATTCTTAGCATTACGACCACTGTATATATTTTAAAACAGCTGATCAGCGGCTTCAAAATGGCTGCCTGCTGTGTAAAATGGCTCCTAGCTGTGTTTTTGGATGGATTCCTTGCTTTACAGGCACCAAAAATAGCCGCCCCTATGGAGGATCTTCGCTGGACGGTGAGTTTTTCAGCCCACTGGAACGTATTGAACAGGTTTTCAATGCATTTCAATCGGATTTTTAAAAGTGCACTGAATGAGGATTTCACTCTACAGCGATTTTGCTGGAACAGATTATCCTCGTTAAGCGAGGTACCACTGTACTAGAAACTGGACCTTTTCAACGATGGCACCAGCCCTTTGGAACTGGCTCCCAGTCAAGTTGCACCTGTCCGCCTCCCTGCTTACCTTTAAGATGCTGCTCTTTACAGAGGCATTTGGTGGGAACCTCACATGAACTTGTCATCTGTCCAATCATAGCTTGATGTTTTTGGCTTGCTTATTCTGTGATGCAGGAGTTGATTTGTTCTATTTTTATATTTTAATATCATTACTATTGTTTAATTTATTGTTGCTCTTTGTTTGACTTCATTGATTGTTAAATGCCCAGAATAGTGCTTTCCACTAATTGGGAAACAAACAAACAAACAAACAAACAAACAAACAAACAAACAAACAAACAAACAACACAGTCTTTTGGGGGAAATAATGTTCCCTTTTGTCCACTGAAAAAGCACTGTCCATAGCCACATATGAAGACAACATTAATTATTTCAGTGTTTAAAGTTAATACATACAGCAGCACAAGGCCACATGCTTTCTGTGAAGCATACACTGAGTGAAGGTGACAGTAGCTGCCTAAAGGGGAGAAACAGGGTCAAAGAATGAAACAGAGAAGGGAGTTCAGCTGAGGAAGTAACAAGGTTAGCCAGAGAGACATATGAACCAATGCAGTTACATATGAATTGACTTTGTTACAGTGGAGATTATTGCTGGACCTGAAAATATAAATGCTTCAAAGGAATTTTTATGAATATGAAACAACCCAGCTATAAAACTCCACAGGGCTACTGTCATGAATGTGTATTAAATGTGTATTTAATACATCCTGGGCCAATAGGTGCCTTGATGCAAATCCAGATCTCTAGCATGTTATTCCATATTTGCCTTTCTGTATCCCTGTCTAGGCAGGGACAGTAGGAATTTGTCATTCCTACCTTTGTGGCTTGTTGTCCCTGTGTGACTTCCTCTCCTTTCCTATATTTTACAGACTTGACAGGCCAATATTTTGAGCTTTCTTCCTAGATGAACTTATAAGTGGGTGTTGCACTGAATATGCCCAACAAATTGGGATTTGGAAATGGGCCTGGGAGGTCAGCTGGATGCTCCTATGTATCTCTGCTTCAGTGACCTTGTTGCTTGACAGTCTGCTTTCTCATTTGGTATGTATTTAAATTCCTCAAAACACATTTCCAGGTTTGTGTGGATGGTTTCTTTCTGCTCTGCTATACATATCTATGCCCACACTATACAGTGGACCCTCTACTTACGGAATTAATCCGTATTGGAACGGTGGCTGTAGGTCGAAAAGTCTATAGGTTGAGTCTCCATTGACTTACAATACACTGAAAACTGATTAATCTCGTAACTGGCTGCTTTTGTTCCCTTTTTGTTCCATTTTGGTTTTTTTCTGGTTTGTAGGTCGATTCTCCGGCTGCAAGTCGAACCTAAATTTTGCAGCCAGAGAAGTCTGTAACTCGAAAAGTCTGTAAGTCGAGGGTCCACTGTAGGTAGATTTGTTTGTGTGTGTGTGTGTGTGTGTGTGTGTGTGTGTGTGCGCGCGCGCGTGCGTGTGCGTGTGCGTGTGCGTGTGTGTTTCTTTTCCTTTGTGGCAGGCTTTGTACCATCTGATTTTATTTTCAAAAGGTGCTGAGGTTTAGTAGATTGATTAAAATGTATTGAAATGGAACGTGGCCAAATTAAGATGCCTTGTCTTTGGTTCATTTCATAATATTGGAAAACAGCATTACCAGTAAGCTAGAAGTTATTTGATTGTATTTGATTAATGAGCATTCTAGGAAGTGCACGCATACATGAGCGCGTGCGCACATACATACACACACACACACACATACACACACACAAACTTTCTCACATCTCTCTCCCCCTCTCTCCCCCTCTCTCTGTGTGTGCATGCTAGAATGCTCATTTTATTAATCTATATCTATATCTTGTGTCTCTCTGTGTGTATTTTAGAATACAGTTTAGAATAATGACTACCCCAAGAGAGTTAATTTGCAAGGAAAGTTTGAAATGAGTGGCTTGAGTAAAAATGATGTGCTTAACTGTTCAGAATAAGCAAGAGTTATATTGTCACAATGTAAGTTACAGTACATTGTATGTAATAAATAAACCCTATGTGAATTCCTATGACCTCTATCAAGATGTTCCAATGACAGGATCAAATTCCATAAAATGGTACTGTTAAGGCTTCATTAAAAGAAAGGAAAACAAAAACCCAGCCCTTTCAATTTTATATGGTCATGCCTTTCAGTCCAGGGATCAGAGTAACGCTGCAGTTGTCCAAATGTACAAGATTCTTCTGTTTTGTTTTGTTTTTAAAAGAACACTCCAACTAAACTGAAGTAATTTAAAAGACAAACAACAGATATTCCTTTCAAGGCAAAAGGTGCCTAAAACTTTGGCTGATATAAAGACACACGCCCACTAAGGCACCCAGAGGCAATCTGACAATGCGTTGGAGAGAACTTGGTGGTCAGGACCACGTCACTATGTGAGTAGAGTGAGCGGATCTCTTGCAAGGGGCAAACAGTCCACCAGTTCACTGCACTGCGAGTCAAACCCCAACAAGCGGATCCCATAACCATGCGGGGAGGCGATCATGCGGCCATCCGGGCTGAAACAGAGTTCTTTGATATAGCCTCGACCAACATTGGCTTCCTCAATGCAGTGAGTCAATCGGAGAGAACACCGAGGGGAAACTGGCCTCACTGGGGTGCCTTCTTGGAATTCATAGACACAAGTCCACTCCTGGTCATCAGTGTTACTTGAGCATCGAAGAAGCGTAGCCCACCCTTTGGGATGGAGCTGCAGTGATGTAATGCAGTTTCCTCAATCCCTCTCACCAGGAACCTCTGGGGTCAGAACTTCAAGACTATTGCGTGGTGATCCACCTTCTTGTTGGGTAGCTCGTACTGCATTTTTCTCAGATAGGGGGGTTGAGTCACCCTGGTGACATGGTGATCCAGTACTCCTTGGACCAGATGAGGCAGCAGACGCCAGATCTAAATTGGATGCGGTCCTCCTGGCTCTTAAAATGGGGTAGCTGACAACCTCTAAAGATTTGGTTAAGTCGAGGTCATGCAAAATCAGGAGATACCCGGAAGAAGTTGAGATCAACATTTTGGAACAGTCTGGGGTCAACCTCATGCGCATGAGGAAGCTGGTGTGAAAGAACTTCTTGTGAGGGCAGCCATCTTCTGTGCACCTATTGGTATCCCAAATAATAACATTTCCATCAAATCCCGATGTTACTAACAATCTTGTGTTAGTATCATATTCAATGTTCTTCACCCAGCTGGTGTGACCGTGTAAAGTGCACACTTTGGAATCAAGCTTCCTCAGATCCCACATCGCTATGGTAGTGTCATCAGAGCATGTTGCAAACAGTCTGTTATCAAGAAACCTGATATTATTTACACAGTCCTCATGAGCAGTGGAGAATGTTTTGATGTGCTTTGAAGATATGGGGTCAAAAAGCAGGACTTCCGTCTGTTCACAAGCAACAGTTAGCACTGACCCACCAGGGGAATACTCCAGGTTGAAGAGGGCTCCGTGCATGCATGTGAAGGGGGAGACGGAGTCCGCGGGCTGGATGGCCCCGTAGAGCCCCGTCATCGCCCGGAAGGTGTCTCGGGCCGGCTCCATGCAGCGGCCCCCATGGCCCAGGCGCCGGTCGCACACCCAGGCGAACAGGCCCCCGCCGGGCACCGACACGGGCACCGAGCAGGAGGCATAGGCCGGCGGCTGCTTCGGCGACTGTTTCCGGGGTGGAAGCGGCGGGGACGACGGCGGCGGCGGCGACTGGTCCCCCTCGCCCGGAGACGACCGCTCTGGGGTGGAGCCCCACCGCGCCCGCCAGCTCATCCCGAGCTCAGCCCCGCCGCTCCGGGCAGCAGCATTCCTCTCATAACACCCAAGGCTGCCGCCGCTGCTGGTGCCGCCGCCGCTGCTGCTGCTACTGCCACCTAACCGCCCCCCCTTGCACTTCCGGTGCGGCGCGTACCAACTCAATTTTATATGGTAAGACTGAAAGGGTACCGCAGGCATCTTGGCAATCCTGGCCCTCCCCAAATTTCTCCGAAGATTTTAGAGACCTGATTAATATGATCTTGCTTATTTAGTGATATAAAATAATTAACTATTAGAGATGGGGATATATTAAAAATGTTGAATCGTTTTGATCATAGTTAATGAATCAACAAATACGAATATACAAATATTCTTCAATGAATCAATGAATCAATCCATCGATTCATCTGCATTTTAAACAGCTATAACACTGGCCCCCAACTACCTGGACACAATAAATTTGCAGGGAAGCTTCCTCAGATGCTATTATACAACCCCTGAAAGATTAGTGAGCATTGGATCACAGATCCCCAAGTTATACAGTCACAAAGAGGACCCCCCAGGAAAGCTCCCCCCAGGTACTTAGAGACTAGAGAATCACAACAGAGCTTCCCGTGTCTTTCCCAAACATGCCTGCCAAATTTGGTGAAGATTGGATATCAGGCATCTGAGTTATTCACCCAGAAATTGGGTCACCCCAGGAGAGTTTACCACACGGCACAGAAGCCCATTCTGTCTACTGGCCACTAATCAGCTAATCAGAAGCTGATAGGCAGCCACCCTCCACACACAGCTAGCCACCCAAACAGCCTACCCCCACACACCCTTCCTTTCCTTACCTTAGCCCCCACCCCACTCCCACTGACACCCCCTTACCTTAATAGCTGCTGCCAAGGTCTCCATCATGCCTTCCAGCCACGGTGTGCAAAAAGGGAGACTGGCTGCCCTTTGCAAAGTTTGCGATTCCCTAAAAGCCTGCGAGCTGAATTATTCCGAGGTTGCTGTGGCGCTTGCCCCCTTACCTTAATTGCAGCTGTCGAGGTCTCCTTCTGGCCTCCCTGCCATAGCATGTAAAAAGGGAGACTGGCTGCCTTTTGCAATGATGGTAGCTTTAGCTTCATTTAGGGTAGGGAAGCTGCAGCTGCCATCTTTGCAAAGCACAGCCTGGATTCCCTTAAGGCAGGCTAAGATAGCGAAAGGAAGGGGGTGGGGGTAGGCTGTGGTATTGGGTGGCTGTGTGGAGTGGTGGCTGCCTTTCTGCCACTGATAAGCTGCCGGTAGGCAGAATGGTGTTTTTGTTTTTTTAATATGAAGGACGAATAAAAACGGGTAAATGTTCATCCCTTCAAATTCGTGTGGGAATCTGGAACCCACAAATATGGATCGACAAATATTTAACGAATTGGCTATAGTCATTGGAAAAAAATGATCTGTTTTTATATTCGTCCCCATCTCTATTAGCCAGTCAGTATACTTGGGGGGTGTTTTATTTGTTTTTATCTCTGTTTTCAGGCTTGTTTCTGACTAACAGCTATATAAGTTGGGCACAGATTCAAATTCAGATATTCAATTTATTTTCTTACTGGATCCTCTGCCAGATGATAGATCATATTAAGTCGCATCCATGGGACTCTGTTTGAGTGTGTGCATGCTGATGCCAATGCTGATCATCAGTGATCTGCAAGAGAAAGAAACAGCAAATGAACTCCTGTGGCAAAGTGTGCATTTGCCATTTCTGAGATTAATTGTACAAATTCTCTCACTGGAAAGCAAGTGAAACCCAAAACTGCCCATTCACAGAGCAATAATAGAGCAAGGGAAAATCTGCTTCTTCTGGGGGCATCCTGGGACCATGCAGCAGGGATAGCCAACGAAACAAAGTATCCTGCTGAAATTTCATCTTATATACAAATCATAAAAAATATAGCTAGCAGCCTTGTCTTCTTTTGTGTCTGAACTCTTTCAAATGTAGGTCACTTCTTAAGGTTATTCATAATCTATGAAACATTCTTATGAAGTAAATCTATTGTCCTGTTCGTTGCAAAGGCCAACTTTGAAAAAGGGAACAGTTTTACTAAAAGTTACAGTTTTCTTTTGGTACTTAATTACAGAAAACAAACAATTAGCTCTAGAGAGTACCTTTATCATATTTTGCAACAAACCCTAAGGTGTTTATATGATTCTTTACAGGAAGCCTCTTTCTTGAGAAACTGTTAAGAGTACAATTCTTGATAACTCTTTGAAGTAATGGAAAAGCTGTCTTGCATACTTCTATCCCTCCTAGGCATATCTACATGCTGATCTGCCATACAGCGAGACCTGAATATGCTGCCTGTCTGAGAGGTGATATACAAAGGATTTTACCTTACTTTGTGGATAGACATGAACAAGTATCTGTCTGGAATCCCTCCCCTTGCCAGTGACCTGCCTCTAAGGCAGATCTGTCTAGTTATCTCCCTGTCTTTTGAAACTGCTCAGTGTGGTGTTGCATTCCTGGCAGATTGAACTGTTACCTGCCTGGGAGGTATAGGGATTGATAAGCTGGCTACTAGGTGATTCTGAACAATTATTTTAGCTCAGATATATTATATGTGTGAAAGGTAGTGACTCTGTTTCAATTTCAGTTTTCATATGTTCATGTCAAGGGTGCTTCTTGTTTTTTATGATTTTTAAATGATCTCTCAATCACTCTCAGATCTCATAATGTTGTCTTTTTAAAAATAATGTATCAGACTGTACTCCTAATTTTTTTTAAAAAAAGTAACACACAAGTAATTACCTGTTGCTCGTTACCTTAAGAGTTACACATTAGCACTCCGCTACGAATATATGACTTTTAAAATTTTGTCATCATTTAATGAATGAAACCCTACAAATGGAAACATGGACCTTAATTACCAGTAACCCCCCCCTGCATACAATATTTCAATAGTAATCTTTCTTTATTTGTTTCAGAGTGTTGCACAGTTTAAAATTATGGATGTATATGAAATACAGGCAAAATGAAAAACAAATTGGACTGTTAAGATAATTAGACTATTTTTGACCAAGGGAGGAAGGCTTCTTGATAATCTCCTGTGTGGTAGTTGTCGCAGCTTCTTTTGTGGCAGTTGGCATTATGTTATTTTGCAAAACAACATCTTTCTCCCACATTACCTAAAAAGTATTGTTACAACGAATATTGTTACTTGCAATGGCCTATTTTTCAGGTTCTGATTCTCTCCAGACCCCCACTTCCTGGTCCTTCCACATGTATGTACACTTTTGTCCACAGTAAGCAGTAGCAGTATAGCTCAGGTAATATTGCCTATGGCTTTGAGATACTAGAAGCAAAGATAGGTCTCTACCTTGAGAAGCAACAATACAGGTTTGAAGAAGGCATGTACCTAAGCCAAAATGGCTATGTTCAATTCATCACCCCATTTGCTGGTATTAATTTATGAGAGTCTATTCCACCACACAGTTTGGGGAGCTGTAATTTGACCGCATAAACAGGTTTAAGGAGAGGGAAAAGGACTTACAGGGGTGGCAGGCTTTCCCTCTCATTTTATTAGTTGCCATCCTCTGCACCCTGAACAGGAATTGTGTTAGTGTGGGTATGCTCACATAATGACTTGTGCTGATCCTGGTGCCACATCTTCATGCTCTGTTAACGTGATGGTAAGGTAACATTTCTGTCAAACTTTTAAAAATGGATGCCAGTAAACTGACATTGCTTTAAAAAGGGAGTTAAAAGAAAAGGACCACTAGTGTATTCCGGAAGCATATTCAGAAGGATCATCCATAAACAATCTTAAAATATTTATAAAGGGCGGTCTTCTGCAACTTTATTTTCCACAAAATAAATGCCACAGGCCTGAGATATGTAATAAAGGTCTTAGATTTATTAGTAGGGGAAATCGAGCAAACACTGCTAAATTATGAATGATATTGGAGCTTTCTGCTCATCCTCTAAAGAAAGATGTTATGGACTTAAGGAAGAAATGAGAAACTAAATAATCAAGAACCTATATTTGGGGAGTGTGAGAGAGGCCAGGTTAGAGCCATTGTTGGCATTAGTGATTCTAGCACCTGTCAGTTATGAGACATGAAGTTAGTGTCAGGACAAATTCATCCTTTTTCTTAGTAGATTCTCCTGTACCAGAACTGCAAACAGTACAAGTCAACTTAGTCCCCTCTGGGGATCTTCAGTGGTTTAATACAATTCCAACACAGACTTTATGATCAGGTAGGTTTGCATGAACCCCATGTTCAGACAGTGGTGTGATGCTGCTACATTTGCATGGACCTTATATTTCGATTAGCTGTGTGATGGTTCTTTTCTTTCTTTATTCATTTCAGAACACTGCACAATTTAAAATTATGGATGTATATGAAATATAGGTAAAAAATTTGAAAAATGAAAATGTTATGATAATTCAACTATTTTGATCCAGAAGCAGACTATTTCAATAGCATTATCTTGGCTGTTTTCTGTCTTTAGGATACTATTGGATAGCTAGAACTGGTGGATAGCTCAGTGGTTTAGGTATCTGGCTGTGGAGCCAGTGATTGTGAGTTCAATTCCCCATTGTGCTTCAATCATAGGGGCTGGACTCAATGATCCATGGGATCGCTACCAGCTCTGCAGTTCTAACACGTGTGATGGTGCTAATTTGTAAAATTTACTGGTATAAGCAGCTAAAGTTTATATATGTAGGACTGATATTATCTGATAATCTTCACACAAGCTTCAACAAATTCCTATGCAGAACTGACTTATGTATATGCATTTAATCATGTGTGAAGTAGCCCTCAAAATTTTCGGCTTCTCTAGGCTAAGGGACGTGGTGGCGCTGCAGGTTAAACTGCAGAAGCCTCTGTGCTGCAAGGTCAGAAGACGTGTAGTCATAAGATCGAATCCATGCAACAGAATGAACTCTCATCGCTTGTCCCAGCTCTCCTGCCAACCTAGCGGTTCGAAAGCATGCAAAATGCAAAAATGTGAGTAGCTAAATAGGTGGGAAGGTAAGCGGCATTCTGTGTCTAGTCATGCTGGCCACGTGACCACGGAGGATTGTCTGTGGACAAAACGCTAGCTCTACGGC